TTCATCCCGAGACTTCCTCTCCTATCCTCACCCCCTCTGTTGATAATCAGGTATGTACAGCTCGCTCAGACGTAAAGAAAACGGTGACCCAACTACCTGTTGTTTATATGACAGTTCAGACTCGCGCTAGTAGTAAAACGAAGGAAGAAATGAAGTCGCTTTCTTGTCCCGTTGTAGACGAATTAGAGTTGAATAAAGATTCATTTCTTTAAGCCCAGAATTTATGCAATACTTTATAGACAATTAGAGAGAAAGTTCGAGACCGGATCAATAGAAAAGGTGAAATCTAGGTCAGTTAAGTATGAAAAAAATAATGGCCTAATTTATAGGGTTTGTTTCAAAGCAAAGATGAACATGAGCTTAATAATAACCAGTTAGTTACCCCTACTGTATATAGGAACAAGGTTCTTCAGCTTTCCCAAGATTCTATGACTACTGGCCACTTTTCACATCGAAAAAACAGCTCAAAAGTGTTCGAAAATTTCTTTTGACCTGGTACTGGGGCGGATATAAAGAGATATTGTAAATCTTGTCATATATGTCAAAAGGTGTCTCCTAAGGGGTTAGTTAAAAGAGTACCTATGAAGACCGTTCCTGTAATACAAGAGCCGGTCTCAAGGGTAGCTTACTGATATTGTAGGGCCACTGTCCCCTAGCACTGACCGAGGACATAAATACATATCAGCTCTAATCGATTATGCTACGCGCTATCCTGAAGCCATTCCACTTACGAATATAGACACTATTACCTTTGCCGAGAGCTTAGTAGATATCTTTTCACGTGTTGTCATTCCAAGGGAGGTGTTATCTGATGGCGGAACTCAATTTCGATCAGATCCTATGAGCGAAATTCATAGACTCTTGTTCATTAAAGCCCTCTTCACCACGCCTTATCATGCTAGCAGTAATGGAATGGTAGAACGACTCAACGGGGTCCTGAAATCAATGCTAAAGAAGCTATGTTTTGATCACCCACGTGACTGGGACCGTTATATACCTACAACCCTTATTGCATACAGGGAAATGCCAAACGATTCTCTTAAATTTTTACCATTTGAGTAGGAAGCCCCTTGAATATATTGCATGAACTTTGGCCGAATAATGAAATCAACCATGACGTAAAAAGCACTTATCAATATGTTACAGACCTTAAAACACAAGCTTGAAGAAACTGCTAAATTAGCTTCAGATAAAGCCGAAATCAGTCGAAACTATAATTATTATTATGACTTAAAAACTAAGCACAGGAAACTAGATATTGATGATGAAGTTCTTGTTCACTTGCCGACAGATCATAACAAATTAATAATTCAGTGACAAGGACCTTATCCAGTAATAGCATATAAAGATGATGGTATGGATTATTCAATCAAAGCTCATAGAAAGAACAAATTATTTCTTATAAATATGCTGAAAAAGTGTCATCGACGCGAGAACCTTCCAAGGAAAAAATTTGTGTTGGTGAAGAAAATAACACTGAAAATCAACCAATATATTGTGAATCTACAACTAACTGTTTGGATGAGATGAAAGAACTAAATATTAATGACTATCTTTCTAGCGAACAAGTCAGTGATATAATAGGTTTGCTAGCTGATTTTTTCTGATGTTCCAGGACATACTAAATCAATTGAACATGTAATTAAACTAGAATCAAATGTACCTGTGAACAAGAAACCATATCCTCATCATCTCGTAGATGTATTTGATAAGGAGTAGATAGGATGCTTAAGCTAGGTATAATTGAGCCTTCTAATTCACTATACTGTTCACCCGTAGTGCTAGTCTGAAAACCTGACCAAACTTGGAGATTCTGTATTGACTTCCGTGGGTTAAGTTAGATAACATCTTGTGTCTGTGAACCTATGCCTACAAATGAAGTTGCTTTAGGAAATTTTTTAAATGACATTTTCTTCTCAGAATTAGATCTTACAAAAGGCTATTGGCAGATCCCTTTTTCTCAGGTCTTTAAAAGCTATACAGCCTTTACCACAAGCAGAGGCTTTATGCAGTTTATGATGCCTTTTGGTTTAAAAACTGCGTGTACTACTTTTGTACGATTAATGAGGATAGTAACTTGTGGACTCAAAAACACTGCTTGCTATTTGGACAATATTGTGGTTCACAATAATAATTGGTCTGAACACTTGCAGGATTTGAGAGAACTTCTGAATAGGTTGCGGTTGCATGGTCTGACGGCTGGGATCAGTAAGTGCTACTTTGGTTATCCCAAGATCAAATACCTGGGTTTGCTGCTTGGAGAGAAGGCCCTCACTCCGCTTGACGTAAGAGTGAAATCTATTTGAGAAATGCCTTTTCCCAATACAAAAAAGGAGTGATCTTTCCTTGATACTTAAGGCTTTTATAGGAAGTTTCCCAATTCCCAATTTCTCAGAAATAGCTGCTCCCTCAAAATGATATGCAAATATGCGTGTGTGTATGTGTATACAAATACACACACACACACACACACACATATATATATGTATATATATATATG